TCTTGAACCCACCCTGACCTGCAACCCAGTCATGTGCCCTGATTGGGAATGGAACCAACCACCTTTCCCTTTATGGAGTGGTGCCCAACCGAGCCACGCTGATCAGGGCAGCAGCACCTGACACTCCTGAGCCTTGTGCAGAGTAGAAATGGCTGAAATACTGACCTCACAAGATTGTCGTCAGAGGCACTCCTCACAGCGTCCGGTTGCACCTGTCCAGGCTCTTAGGAAATGCGTGCTGTGATAGTTCATGGAGGTGTGGGGAGTGTTTCATTCGTGTATTGTTCACTCCTCTTCATACTGATACAGCTGTTGGACTTTTATGTTTCCTTCAAGTTCAGACTCAAATATTCGCTTCTCTTTGAAGCTTTCCCTGCCCTGTAAAAAGCAGGCGGAATGCAGGCCTCCGAGTGGCCCGGACAGGGGGGCAGCTTGTTCTATCGGGCTGGCTCTGCTGTGACCTGATTCTCTCAGGGCCTCAGGGTCCCTGCATGTACGTAGAGGATGTTGGGCCGGTGAGGCTTCAAGATCTACTTTGGCCTGGACAGTTTATTCTCCTGCTTTGGGTACTGAAGTGGGCATTTGATGCTGTGCACAGGCCTGCTCCTTTAGGATTCACGCTGTTTTTTTAATCTTGACCTTCTGCTCCAGGACCAGCTCTGCTTCTCCTTGTTGGCCCTCTATAAATCTGTACAGAATGGAGCCAGAACTAGACAGCCCCCACCTCATCTCACAGGGGGTAAAATCTACAAGGTGTGCCCCCATCAGGTAAGACTGTAACAAGGAGGAACATGGGGCAGGTTTGCTCACGACACATTGTCCGCAGTCAGATGGCCCCAGTTCACGCTCGTGGGGGCTGGCACCTCGCTCACCAAGCCGCGCTTTGAGCGGGCAGGGAGTCTGGTTGTCATCAGGGAGTATTTGTTAAGCACCCTACCGTGTGCTGGCCCCTTTGTCAGCTACTGAAGGTACGTAGGTGAGCAACAGTGTCTTTCCTTCCTAGTGGACTTATTTTAGTCACACAGATTGTCATGCAAGCCTGAGACAGGCAGTGACAGTGAGGGACCTGCTGTCCGTGGGGCAGCCAGAGAAGGCTGAGAGCCCCAGTGATGAACTGGGGAAGGAATGTTCTAGCAGAGGAAGAGCAACCCCTAAGCCCTCAGTGGGAGAGCCTAGTGAGCCAAGAGGAGGGAGGTTGCAGGGGTCATCAGAGGCCGATCATGTAAGGTCTTGCAGGCCAGAGTGACAGTTTACTTTTTCTGAGAGTGATGAGGGACCCGTTGGATGAGAGTGAATGGAGCATGTCCTCCTCTTCACGGACATGGTCTGCTTTTGGCTTTAGGAAGATCACTCTGTCTGTAGAGGGTGTGGACAGGGTGGCGTCAGGATCCCTCCGGAAAGGTCATGCCCTATGACAGAGGAGGCCCAGGAAGACACTAGAGTATATGCCACCCCATGAACAAGTACCGGATGGGGGAGGGAGATGTGTGAGTGGGCAGGGCAGCCTGGCTATGAAAAGAGAGCTAGGTTGTCTGCTCCTTTAACAAAAGCTGTGTCTGAGGGAGATGCTGGGCGCTCCACCCCGGCAGATCAGAGCCTGCTCAGAGGGTTGTGTTCCTGTGACTGCGGCCATCTCCCGACAGCAGAGGGGCAGCTGTGAGAGTTAGAGACCTCAGGGCTGCGATGGGAGAGCCATACCGCTTGGGGGCGATGGCTAGGCCCGGTGGGTGTGCCGGTGGAAGGTGGAGGTGGAGGCAGAATTCTCCAGTGTGTGTGCAGCCGCCTGGCAGTGGGGCGGCACTTGGGGGTCCTGGCAGTGGAGGTGTTTGCTAAACTGTGTCAGGGTCTGGTGGGGAGCTGCTTAGAATGCACCCACCTCAGAGGCTTCTTTAGGTCGGAGGTCGGGCCCAGGAACCTCCATTTTTAACCCGCTCCTAAGCTGCCAGTGCTGTGCAGCCGGGATCGGGAATGACTGGGCTGGACAGTGGTACTTGGTAGTGTGATGTGGCGGGAGCGGCTGTGTTGGAACCCATGACCTGGGGGGGTTTCAGCCTCCGTTGAAGACTGGATGTTCCTTCCTCTTCACGGAAGACGTCAGGGATGAGCTGGCGACTTCCTTTATGGACAGAAGTAGGAGGGAAGCAGAATGTTAAAGGCTCTGGGAGGACATCTGTGGCTTCAGTTACGAAACCTGATTGTTCATCTTCCTGGGAGGAAGCCTGTCTGCAGATCGGCTTCTTAACCGCGTGCTGTGCCCTCCGTCTCTGCCCCCAGGTGATCTGCGGCTCCAAGTATCTCGTGCGGGGCGAGAGCGCCCGTGACCATGTGGATCTACTTGCCTCTTCTCGCCACTGGCCGCCCGTCTATGTGGTAGACATGGCCACACCAGTGGCCCTGTGTGCTGACCTCTGCTACCCAGAGCTGACCAAACAGATGTGGGGAAGGAACCAGGGCTGTTTCTCCAGCCCCACAGAGCCACCTGTGGTGAGTTTCCTTCCGAGGACAGGAATAAATTCTGCAGGCCGACCATGACTAGCCCTTTGGTTCTTCGGGAAAGCCTTGTCTCTAGCATCCATTCTCCATCAGTATTTTGTCTTCATGTTCTGGAACCAGCATTTATTCCAAAGTTTTACTGACCAACCCCTGTGTGTATATGGCCATAACATGTCACTTAGGGTGCCCAGAGTGTCCCAAACCAAACACAGGTATATTGGGGGTCAGGGTTGCTTTCCTGATAAGCCTAGAATATTGCCACCTTTGAGGTCATCGTGGACACTGAGATGCTAAAGACCATCCCCTGTCCCCCTCCGCGCCCTGTCTGAGATTTAACCATGGATACACTGCAGGGCATGTCTGTTATGATCTCTAGGCACAGCATCTTAGAAAATACTGACCTTATCCAACCCTCTCCTTTTATTAAAAGGGGAAAGTAAGGCCCAGAGGGGGAAATGGACTTGTCCAGTGTCGCACAGCATGTTGGTGACAGAGCCCTCGTCTCCGTGTGTGTTTTTACCAGAGGCATGTGCCCTCCAAGGCCAGTGTACCCTCTGCAGCAAGAAACACTGGGGTGGTAATAGGGGAAAAGGGTCATCGTCGTCATCACTGGCTCTGTGAGCGTGTGCCCAGCACTGCAGGAGGCGCTGAGCTTCAGTGGGAGCCACCCCTTCCCACCGCCCTGCGGCCCTGCCTCAGCTGACCGGGCACAGCAATCAACGACGGCTGGCGGCTCAGTTATCCGACACCTGGTCTGGTTACTGTCCTGTTCTCACATGAGGAAACCGAGGCAGAGAGGGAGAAGAGGGGACTTGCCCCAGGGGACATGATATGTATTGATATGAGGATTTAAATAGTGCTAATGACCCCACAGCCTTCACTCTGTCCCACCACACAGGTCCTGCTTGCATCATTCTGTCATGTCGAAGTGGCTGCTTCTGTCTCTTTCAGAGCGTGTCCTGCCCAGAGCTCATGGATCAGCATTACACTGTGGACATGACGGAGGCCGAGCACTCTGTCCAGCACCCAGTCACCAAGACTGCCACGCGGCGCATCGTGCATGCAGGCACAGCGCCCAGTCCTGGCGACTGCAGTGCTGGGCACCACTCTTTGGCCCTGTGTCCTGAGTTGGCACCCTACACAGCCGTCCTGGCCTCCATCACAGACAGCAAACCAAACAGTGTCCGCCAGCGGCCCATTGCCTTCGACAATGCCACCCACTATTACCTCTACAACCGCCTCATGGACTTCCTCACCAGCCGCGAGATTGTCAACCGGCAGATCCACGACGTGGTGCAGAGCTGCCAGCCCGGCGAGGTGGTCATCCGTGACACCCTTTACCGCCTGGGCGTTGCTCAGATCAAGACGGAGACAGAGGAGGAGGGTGAGGAAGAGGAGGTGGCCGCAGTGGCAGAATAAGCCAGGCTCTTGCACCAGGACTGCACCATCTCTCTCAAGCCATAGTGAAGCCCTTCCCCAAGGCAGATCCGTCCAGGGGACCGGGAGCGTGCACCTGTGGGGAGGGCCTCGGATGCTGGCACTGACCAAAGAGCTCCCGTGTTCTGAGCACGGTGGGGCCTGGGGTCCTTGGTTCTCAACCTCCCGGGGGTCGGGAAAGGTACAGTACATTCCTTACCAGCTCCGAGAAAGCACTTGGAGAACATTGTATGTTCAGCAGAGGAGAAGGGAGGCTGAGGGGTGGCTGGTGGCTCCCTGGGGCCTGCTGCGGGTCAGGGCAGAGGTCCCCAGGTGGGGTAAGGTGGAGTCCGGCACTAGTGGGCAGGCTGCTGAGGTAGCCCTTCTCGTCCCAGGGAACACTTTCCTTCCCCACAGCCGTACGAGCTCTTAGCCTGTTGCCTTTGACTCAGGGCCTTGGGGGCTTCCTTAGCTCTGGGGGTCCTTTTGGGCTCTCCCAGAGGAGGGGTGCACTTCCCTCCTGCTTTTCCTTCACCCTAGTCTTGGAGAAATGGAGAAGGGAGAACCAGTCAGCACAGCCCTCCTCCGGGACTGCCCTCGTTGCCCGCGCTGTGAGAAAGAGGACCGCCTTCCTCTTTTCCCTGGCCACTGCTGCTGCCCCTGCATCCTCTCTGGGTCTCTCTGGGCCCTGGGCCCTCACCACAGAGGAGGGGATGTGGCCTGAGGCATAACATAACCTGGCAGCAGTAGGAAAAACTCCCTTCTGTGAAGGGGAAGCAGACTGGGCCGTAAGGAAACAGTGAGACTGGCTCAAGTGCCCAGGGTTTGCTTAGGGCACGGGAATTGGCCGTGTGTTACTTAATTTATTGAGAGGGGTGGAGTAGGTGGCTTTTTTCCCCTCCCTCTTCCCCAGCAAGAATAAAGTTTATTATCTTGTTTGGGTGAAGCAAGAGTCAATGCCGTGTTCACTGTGTGGGGCAGTGTGGTTGAGCTCCGTAGTGCTGAGCTGGTCACTCGATGTGAAGGAGGGGTGGCAGAAAGCCCCAGGCAGTCCACAGGCCTTCGTGAGACGCAAAGAACCAGAGACCAGCTGTGTTAATGCTGTTAGTTTAATGCTGACAGGGACAACCCGCAGCGTGACTGTTAGTTGTGATGAGTCAGCTTGGGGAAGTGCGTGCTGTTTGCTTGGTGTGGCCAGCCACACGGGTAGAATGCCCAGACTTTTAGCTGCTCATTATAGCAATGCCAGGTCCAGGGTGGGATGGGGCTGTGGAGGAAAAACCAGAGGGCAGGGAGCAGGAGGTACAAGTAGATGCTTACAGAGGAGGCACCCTGCTCCAAAGGTCTCGGCCTAGTGCCACGTCTGAGCACCTGTCTGTTCTTGCTGCTCCATTTGGTTTGGGGGGGGGGGGCTCCCTCTACTCTCAGGCCCAGGAGTGTTGTTTTCTTAATGTTGGGACAGCTCCTGGGGACTTCCCAGGTGTGAAACCAGTCCATTGACACTGGGAGAGGCAGGGAGCAGGGGAGGGTTCCTGGAAATGGGAACAAGGTTAAGAGGCTGTGCCTCAGGTTGTCTAAGTTGGTGTAGCGAATGTATAGCCACAGCATTGAGAATAGTGGGCGGGGAGGGGCTCAGCCCCAGCCCCTTTATGGCAGTGATGGCCCAGGTCCTGGAAGTGGGGTCCTCCAGGATCTCTCGTGGGTCCCACATCCTGGGTTTCAGAGCTGGGCCGGGCTGTTGAGTGAAAAGACGAGGGCAGAGTCCGTGTTCTCCCTGTGGGGCCCCACGCACAGAGGAGGTGACACTCAGAGGGGGCACGGGCAGTGCTGCCCTGCCGGCACCTCAGCAGAACTGGTAGTTGTTAGGCTGCAGCAAGGGCTGGGCCATGTCCCCCTGCTCACAGCAGGCTGGCGGCTCACTAGAGCTCTCCTGCTCACTGCTGCTGCCACTGCCGCTGTCGCCGCCGGTGCTGTCGCCACTGCCGCTGGAGAGGTTAGTATAGTCCTGAAGGAAAGAGAGGCCAGGGGATGGTCAGTGCTGATTGGTCAGGACCAGCCCAGCCTGCCATAGGCACCCCCCTGCCGGAGGCCTGGACACGCTCACCTGCGCCCTGTCGTCCTCTTGGGCCTGTTCCTGAAGGAGGAGGCAGATCTGCTGGAACGTGGGTCTGTGGGTGGGCTCCAGGGACCAGCATGCCTGCATGATGCTGTATCTGGGGTGGGACAGAGGTCGCCTGTGGGTCTGGGGGTCATTTCGAGTGCCTATCCCCAACGGAGTCCTGCCCAGCAGAGGTCCCGAAACCTAGTCAAGGTGAGCTCAGCACAAGACTTGGCTGAGCCCTTGGCGTGTGTTATCTCGCTTCATCTTCCCGGTAGCCCTTGGAGAAAGGTGTTCTCATCACACCCACTGACGGCAGTGGGAGAAACTCAGAGATGCTGTCTTGCTCAAGCTCCTAAAACAACAGGGGGTACTCTTGCTCCCTGCAGGCAGGTTTGAGGGGTGGCCTGAGTGAGCAACGGACCGGCTGCAGCAAGAGGCTAGAGTGGGGAGCGGGCTGCAGGGGCTGGAGAGCCAGCTGGGCAGCCCAGGCAGTGAGACCGGGGCGGGGCCGGGGGGGCGCGGCATAGGGGAGGCTGTGTTGAGAGAGGGGCTGGAGAAAGGCAGTGGGTGACGTGGTGGCCTGCTGGCCTGAGGAAAGACGGGAAGACAGGGGTCCGTGAGCAGCTCGCTCGTGGCAGGCTGGCTGCAGTGATCACCGGGACAGGAGAAACAGGAGGCACCTCCTTGAGGTCACAACAGGCTGAGTTAAAGATCTGTCATCCAAGTTAGGGCTTGCCCAGTTAAGAGCCCTTTTCTCCGAGAACATCGCCTGTGCTGCCTGCTAAACTGGAGGTAACCGTGAACTCTGTAAAGGGGGCTTGTATTTAGGCCAGGGTGGGGAGATGGAGCCCAGCCCTGGAACACCGTGGGCAGGGAAAGATGGTCACATGCCTTTCCGTCCCCTTAAACCAAAGTCAGGGTGCCCTCCCTCCCTGGGGCCCTTACATGTTCTTTGGAGCAAATGCAGGCTGGGCCATTTGATATCCATCCTTGACCAGTTTGTAGAACTTGTTGTTCACCAGGATGCCAGGGTAGGGGTTCAGCCCTGCAAAGGCGGAGGTGATAGCACGCTCAGTGCTCCCTTCCCCATCCCCACCCCACGCACATCCTGGCAAGGTTGGGGTTCCACAATAGAACAGCAGCTCCTCTTAGTAAGTGCTATGCACTGGGCCCTGCAGGTGGTAAGGTTCTAGGAAGTGGAGAGCCATTCCCCAGCCTCCTCATGCCACACAATGCTAGCCCAGGCTTTGGAATAAGAGGTTCTTAGAGGAGTGCACTGAAGGTCTTAGCCCAAGTCCCTGCACCCAGCACACCAGAGGTTGGAGCCGTATCTTCAAGGATACACGTGTTTCGGACGAGGGGAAACAGCATTCTAGGGAGTAGCAACTGCACAAGCAGATGAGGGCACAGCTGAGGGAATGCCTGTTGGGGGCAGTCTCTGCCCTGCCTATGCTGGAGCTGTGCCACTTGGTTTAAGACATTCTGCATATCCCTCCATTCTCGCCAGCCCTTGCTCTGCCCTGGGCACCAAACATCCATGACTTAGCATCCTCCCTGAGTTATAAGACACCGCAGGAAACCAAACACAAGTCAGCCCCCAGGCTGAGCCTGCACCAGGCCAGCTGCTCACCAAGTGAGAAGATCTCCCAGAGGAGGATGCCGTAGGACCAGACGTCACTCTGAACTGTGTAGACGCAGTCGAAGATGCTCTCTGGAGCCATCCACTTCACCGGCAGGCGGGCCTGGCAGAGTAGACCCCAGTCACCTTGGTCTCCAGCTCTCCACCCTCGTCCCCAGCCTGCTCCATGCCCTCCCAGCACTCACATTGCCCTTGACGATGTAATTGGAGTCATTCATGATGTCTCTGGCCAGCCCAAAGTCCCCAATCTTGGCCACACGGCCGCTGGTCAGCAGCACATTCCGGGCTGCCACGTCTCGGTGAATGCACTGAGGGGAAGTGGGTCAGGGTTAGTCCCAGCCCCTCCCTACCTGAGCCCAATGTTCAAAAGCAGCAGCCAGGGCCCCAGAAGGCCTCAGAGGTCCTTCGTGAGGGAGTGGGCATCAGTTCTTTTGAACCTGACTCCTGTCCCTGCCTCCTCAGGGCCCAGGGGCTGAAAAATTGAAAGTGGTCAGACAATGCAATGTCTAGAAACCACCCTCCCTCTGGCCCTTCAGCCCCAGCAGCAGCTGGCTTAGAGCAGGTGCTCTGCTCGGGCCCAGAAGCGGGGAGTCCTGACTCAGTGAGCGTCTCGGGCCCACAGTCAGCTTCTAATGACAGCTGCCCTAGCAGGGCCCTACGGTGCCAGGCCCTTCCCTAAGCATCTGCACACATTCTAACCCTGTTTTGCCCACAACCCTGTGATGGTGCCCACTTTTATCAACACAGAGACTATGACTCAGAGAATTTCAAAAGTGCTCAAAGTCACGCAGCAAGTGGCAGAGACAGCAATCAAACCGGACCCCTAAGTTGCGTGCCAAGGAGGACGGTCACCAATCCTGTTCCCGGGCACCTCTTCCTGGGCGAGTGTATCATACCCATCATCTCACCGCTAAAGGAGATCCCATCATCATCCCCACGAGACCTTGCACTTCACACCATTGATGCAACTTGTCTTGTTCACACAGCCTGCTGCACCCCGGGGCCTCCTGGCGGGACTCATGCCACTTTCTCCCACCCCCTCCTAAAGCTCTTTGAGGCTGCAGCCCATTCGCTTTCTGGCACTCTTGGCTCTACTTTCACCCCCTCCTGCTCCCTTTCCTCCCCTTCATCCTTCCTCCAGCTTCATGGGGGTTCAGCAGACCACTACTCTTCAAGGTGACTACATGGGGGACCTGGTTCCCGACTCACATTCTTAGAAGTGAGGAAGGCCATGCCCTGGGCCACCTGGCTCGAGAAGTGAAGCAGGTCCTGCAGCTCCAGCGGCCACTCATCCTTGTCCGCATCTGGTGTGGGGAGAGGCATCAGGGCAGCCCGCCATACCCTGCCCTGCCCTGCCCTTCCCAGCCCCCAGCAGCCCCTCTCCACTCCCCCTGCCTCCTCACCTTGCTCAGAGGAGTCACTTGAAGAAGTGGAGACAGGCCTCATCTCCACGTAGGTGTCCACTCCCTGGCTGGAGAAGCCACTGTCCCTATGTAAGAGAGAGGCCCTAGGGCCAGTCAGTCCCCATCACCACTGCCCAGCTCAGGCCTTGGCCTCCAGCCACTCAGCAGGGAAGGGAGGGAACTTGGAGTCAACTTGAACCTCTTGACAAGAAACCCCCTGCCATCTTCAGTCTAAGTGACCGTTAATCTCTGGCCAACCAGCCAGGGAGCTGATAACCTGTTCTCTTTGGGCAGCTCTGCCTGCTAGAAAGTTCTTCACGCTCTGTAACACCAGCCTGCCCCCAGGATTTTCCTCCTGGTCCATGCTCTGCCCTCGAGGGCTGCAGAGAAGTAAGTGGGCCCCCTGTTCCCCATAACAGCCCTGCAGAGGTCTGAGCACATTCTAGGGCCCCTTCTTCCAGCCCTCTCTTGTCTAGACAGTGGCTCTTCTGGCTTCACATTAACACCATCTGGGGAGCTTTAAACACACCGCATGCCTAGACCACTTCAGAAACTCAAGGGGCAGAACTCAGTCATGCGACGTTTCATTCTCTGCCGGCAGCCAATTCCAGTGTGCGGCCAGAGGGCAGACCCACTGGTCTAGAGAAGTGCTTCTGAATTCACATCCACATGCATAGGCTCACCTGGGGAATCTCATGTGCATCGGTTGTGCTTCAGTAGGTCTGGGTGGGCCTGAGGCTGTGTGTGTATTTCTAACAGCTCTCTTGTGATGCGTGTTGGGCCATGCTTTGGGTGGCAGGCAGGTTTGAGAAGTGCTGCTTTAGAATGAACAGCCACTACTGCTTCTGATACTCCAACCACATGAGCTCTGGGCCACGCACCCACCTGCCCCCTCTGCAATACAGATGTGCACCTTGACAATGTCCATACTCACGTGTTCCCAAAGAGAGAACCTAGTGTTTCATTTATGGGCTGACCACGGCAAAACCATCCCCTCCCTTGGTCTAGGAACTGTATTCCTATTAATATAGCCTGGGATCACATTGGCAGGATTGGTTCACATGCCATTTTCTCTTTAAATCACCCCACTCCATGGATCCTTTCCCCACCTGCAGATTTGAGTATGGGAGCTAGAAGCTAATACTTGACTTTGGTTCTCCAAATTGATTTGATCTGGCCTGAGGTTTCAGCCTGCAGAGGCCCGATGTCAGAGGCGAGTCAGAATTAGAAGAGGAAGTAGGTGGATCCTGCCAGCCCCCATATTCCAGAACACTGGATGGAAAGACACAGCCTCCTTCCCCTCCTGCCTCCCCGGGCTTAGCAGCTGACAGTGGCTAGAACAAGGAACCCTTCTTTTTCTGATTCTGTTCCAGCACCCGGTAGCCTGGCCCCAGGACTGAGACTTCCAGAGGAGCACTGGACCAGGAGTCAAAAGAGCAGTGTGTAGCCCCGGCTCTGCCCCTAGCTCATGTGTGACATGAAACTGGCCACTTCCTCTCTCTGGTTCCCCATGCGGCTCTGTCCATCTGCTTCCGCGTGGCTTCCAGGAATCCCAGCGTTACAGAACAAAAGGGAAGGAAGGACCATGAAGGTTCATCCCCTGGTGGCTCACCTGGTAAACTGAGACCCAGCAGGGACCTGGCTGTCATGCTGTTTTTCCCCCTTTCACCTAATAGCCCACAGACCACCCCCACTTCTTCCTGGCGATGTGCAGACCTGACACTGGCTACTCCGAAATGCAGCAGGTCCGCAGCCGCCCCCGGCAGCACATGCTGCGGGGGAAACAGGGCGATGACCCCCAACAGCTGCCCGCCCCTGTCTAGGGCCCCGAACAGTCTTGGTTGATCTTTTATATACATTAAAGTGAGGACTTCATGACCATCTGTCTCCACCAGACTACGAGCTGCCCGTCTTTGCCTCAATATTTCCAGGACATAGCAGATGTTCAGATACTCGTTGAATGAGGAGAATGATTAGAAAAACTGAGCCGCATGTCCCCCCACAGCGCAGGTGGGGATGGGAGGGCCACAACCCCGAACTAGCTTTGGGGACAGACCTGGGGCCCCGCCTCCCAGGTGCAGCCTCCTCCCTGTTCTTGGCACAGAAATGCTACCTGTGGGTGTATTTCTTCTCCAGGTGGATGTTCTTGTAGCCGGGATCCTGGCCTGGACTCAGGCTGGGCCCCAGCATGGCCTCGGCCTTCTTCCGCAGAAAGTTGAGCAGGTCACCATAGCAACAGTACTCAGTGATGACCAGGACAGGACCTAGAGAGCCAAGAGAGTGGGGGGAGTGTACCTCTTAACCCACTCCCCATGTGAACAAGAATGTGGAGTAGGGGCCATGGGGCACCCTGTTGGGACCTAAGAACCCCATCTGTCTAAAGCAGAGGAATCTGCGCCCCACAGGCCCCCACAAAAAAAACTGACTAAAGGATTCTTTCCCCAAAGGAAATCTATGTCAGCTTCATACAGACCAAAGGTCCAAGTTCCTATAGAAAAGGGTGGGTGGACTTGCAGTCCCAACAGGCCCTAGGGCACCCTGTGGACAACATGGTGAGTGCCCAAGTGTCTTGGGTGGAGACCTCACTCCAGACCCACAGGATCAGATGCCTGGAGCAGTCTGCCCTGGTAGGTCCCTCTCCAGGTGACTGACTGACTCCCACTGGTGTCTGAGAGCCACTGCTCAGAGCCCCAGAACTGTCTGCACCCACAAGCAGTTTGACCAGTCCAGGTGTCTGGAATTGAAGGGACCTGAGACAGGTCCTACCTTCATGTGGAGGAGGTTGGGAAGTGGAAGTGTCCAGCGCTCCAGACACCTGAGAGGCCCCAAGGCCACGTGCCCCCATGCCCGCCAGTGCGCCCTTACCTCCATGGGTGCAGGCTCCCAGAAGGTTGACTATGTTCTCGTGCTGGCCCAGATGACTCATGATCTTCAGCTCCGACATGAGGGCCTCCTTCTCATCGGCGTGAGCTGTGGCTGAGGGAGGGACCGCAGGCCCCACAGATGGGGAGAGAGCAGGAGGACATGGAAAGCCACACACACAGATAAGGGACACCCGGGGAGCAGCAGAGGTACCCAAAGCAATCAGGGACGGAAAGAGGAAGAAGAAAAAATGCAGATACACAGAGGGGAGGTAGGCAGAGAGAGAGAGGAGAGATGGCCAGTCACTGAGCTGGTCTCAGGTGGCAGGAAGCCAAGCTGTGGCCAGGCTGTGGCCAGGCTGTGGCCCAGGGTGGCCTTTGTGTACCCCAGCTCAGCCAGAAGCCCCTCCTCACCGAGGAGCTAGGGGGAGCTGGCAGCTCACAAAGGGATCAGGCGTCCACACCACCAATCCCAGGCTCTGTCCCCCAGGCTCCGACAGGCCAAAAATGGGGGTGATGCCTCTTGTGACAACAGGGCAGGTCCTCCCTAGCAGGCACCACGCCCACCAACTCCCCCAAATTCCCCAGGCCCCCTCCTCTCACTTACACTTCAGCATCTTCACAGCCACCTTCAGGACAGCATCTTCCTTGCCCAGACCAAAGGCCGTGGCCTCTACCACCTTCCCAAAGGCGCCAGCTCCGAGGGTCTTACCTGCCGAACACAGAGGCTCCTTTGGTCCCTGGGCACCAAAGGGCCCTTTCTCTAAGGGCCACTGGGTCCCTGCAGCCCATGCTGCCCTGTGATGGGAGGACCTGGTGGGCTGAGACCCCATCTTACCGAACTGCAGGTTGTTTCGGGGGAACTCCCACTGCTCGTTGTAGGGCAGCTGGGTGGGATCAATGAACGTGTAATTGTTGCCCTCGTAGCTCTCAATGATCTTCCAGCGCACCTGATACTTGGGCTTCTGCAGAGGCAGAGGGAGGAAGCATGTGGCAGCCAGGCCTGGCAGGGTCTTGGGTCTCGGTCTGGCCCCCGAGGGCAGGGGAAGTGGACAGTCTCATGGCCCTCAGCAGGGGGAGGTGGCCGTGTCTCCTTATGCCCATGGTGTCAAGAGTCCAGCCCCTTCCTGGCTTGGCCTCAGCATGTGACCATCCCTTCTGCAAACCTCAGGTGCCCTGCCTGTGTATTCAAAGACTTGGACGGGGCCACCTGCAAGGGCCCGGCCGGCCCTGGCAGTTTGGGTAATTCCATCTGTCCTCTGATCCAAATATTGTCTGTTTTTCTTTTCCACTGCAGTGAGACACACATAACGTGAGGTTTATCGTCTCAGCCACTCTGAGTGTGCAGTGGGTAGTGTTGAGTACATTCGCATTCTTGTGCAACCAACATCCAGAGCCTTCGACTTGCAAACTGAAACTCCATGCTCTTGAAACAGCTGGCCGTTCCCACTTCCCCCCAAACCCCTGGCCACCACCCCACTTGCCTCATGAATCCAGCTACTCGTACAAGTTGGGCCCTGCAGTATGAGTGCTTTCGTGACTGGCTTATTTCACTTAGCATACGGTTGTCAAGGTTCGTCCATATTGTAGCATGGGACAGAATTTCCTTCCTTTTTGAAGCTAAATGATATTCCCTTCCAAACACTTCTCTGAGCACCTCTCTGCACCAGGCATGGTTCACACAGACTTGAACAAGACAAAGTCCCGGCCCCATGGGGTCTGCATGCCAAAGGCTAAGAGCGGCATTTCTCTCAAATAAGTAAATAGACTTATGGGTAATGGGATAGAGTGATGGCTACCACTGAAGGGAAGTCGGGGAAGGCCCCGAGAAGCTGCGAAGGCGTATGTGACCATGGGAAGGAGCGCTTTGCAAGCTCAGTGAACAGAGATGTGCAGGCCTGGTGGGGGACGGAGTTGGTCAGGGCGGGTCCTGGCAGGTTTGAGTGACTGCGAGGTGGGCGTGGTTTGAGGGGAGCCTCGGAGGTTCCAGAGTCAGGAAGGTCTTGTGGGCGGTGAGAAGAGGCTCTGCCCACCAGGCAGTGAGTGTCTGGAGCACCTGCATTCTTTCCCCAGCTTTACGTGCTCTTACCAACCACCAGCTGGGACAGAGCTGTTTCTGGGGACAAGGAGCGGTAGCCTCTCTCTCCTGCCCAGGACGACAGCTGCTGGGGGCGGGGGGTAAGGGGGTGGAGGGATTGGGGGGTGGAGGGGTTCTGGGGAGGCGGTAGGAGGCATCCTGCCAGGGGCTGCCCGTGAGAAGTGCTGATGGAAGATGCATTGGGGGAACGTAAAAGTTGGGCGGGTGGGGGCGGTGGAGGACACCAAGGCCTTGGGTCAGCAGTCCAACTCTCTTTCCTGTCAGTGACCTTGGGGACCAGCTGACCTGTGCTTTGCAGCTGGGCTCCTTCGTGGGCACCCAGCTCGGGGGGAACGGCAGGGTGTAGGAGTGGGAGTTGGGGAGGAGGGTGGCCTGTGGCTGGGAGTCCCGCTGGGTTAAGAGACAGGACTCCAGATAGCCATGGGGAAGAACTTCCAACAGGTGGTAGTTTGGGGGAAAAGAGTACATTTAGGGGTAGGGGAGAGCTTCTGCATTTTGCTTGGTCCGGGAGACTACAGGTGAGCTGCAACACCCCAGGTCGGGGCTGGGGAGGGAAGTCTGACATGGGACAGAGAATGACCTTTTTCCTTCCTTCCTTCCTTCCTTCCTTCCTTCCTTCCTTCCTTCCTTCCTTCCTTCCTTCCTTTCTTCCCTCTCTCTTTCTCTCTTTCTTCCTCCCTCCTTCCCTCCCTTCCTACCTCTCAGAAAAAGAGACATCAGTTTGTTGATCCACTTATTTATGCATTCACTGGTTGGTTTTTTGAATGTGCCCTCACTAGGGATCAAACCTACAACCCTGGCATACCAGGTCAACACACTAACCAACTGAGCTACTCGGTCAGGGCAAGGAGGGACTTTCTGAGTCTCAGAGGATTCCAGCCCTGAATACAGTGCCTTTCCAGCCCAAAAGACAGAGACGGAGCCAGGAGGGGATTCTTTGGCCCCCACCCCCCAGGCCACTTCCATCTCCAGGAGCTCCTGTGGCCGAGGCCTGTTTGTCTCCTCACCACTTCTCCTTCCTCTGTTTCCCGCAGTGAGCCTGAGTCAGACCCCTGCGCCCCCGCTCGCCGCCTCCCCGGCAGACAGGGGACACTGGAGAAAGGGACTGGGCGGGTGGAAGGAGGAAGAGGTTATTGGGCTGGAATCTCAGGCCTCTGGGTGCCAGACTCTATACCTGAAGCAGAAGGCCGCTGTCTCCAGCTTGCCGCAGGCACCTTTGCGCCTCCAGCTCAGCCCCTACACCACCCAGCCTCTGCCTTCCCTGGAAAGGGCTCCCCTATCCTCCCCCGGGGCTTCAACCCAGAGGCCTCTCCTCTGAAGGAGAACCCTTACAGGAAGGCCATTCCCCCAGTGATGCTGGTGGTGATTATAAGGACAGCAGCAAGCACTTCTCCGCACTTCCTGTGTCTGGGATGCTGGGCTGCACGCTCATGGTGCGTCATCTCATGAAGTCCTCACCACAGGCCCAGGACCTGTGCCCTCCCCACGCTCTACCCCAACTTCCCCTTGTCAACCAAGGTGGGCGGGAAACATCAAAGTCCATGCGGCCCTCCGACTGGGCCTGCCGGGCTCTGGGAGGGTGGATGTCCCCTGTCTCAGGGAGGCAGAGGCCTCAACATCCCCACAGGTGCCTCCAGGACCCTACTGTCCATCCCCACTTGGTCCCCAGTCCCCACAGCTCAGTTCTGACTCCCAGAATCCTGGCCTCTCCAGTGGCCCCGCCATCCCCTGCCTCATCCTTTCCTCCTGGTGCCCCTCCTCCTTCCTGCCTGCTGATTCCGGCCATTTCTCTTCCCCCTCAGCCCCCTGCCACCCTGTGGTCTCTGGGGCAAGAAAGTCAATGACTCAGCCTGAGGCAAAAGCAACCCTTCCCTCAGATGGGGCCACCTTCAACCCAGGCCTAGGCTGTGGGGACTGGCCAGGCTCAGTCTCCAGGGGAGGGGCGAGTCTCAGAGCGCCAGGGGGGCAGGAGAATTGGACTACAGGCCCCGAGACAGGGGCATGACCATCTTGACCCTTCAAGGTCTTGTCCTGTGGGATACCCTCCTTCTCTTGGCCTCGATAGGACTCAGGGGGCAGTTGGATTTCCTGGCTGGGAAAGGAGTGGACTGGGGCTGGAAGCACATGTTCTGAAAATGGTCCCGTGGAAAGAGGGTAAGGGGTCCCTAGACCACAGCTGGCCGAGGGGGCGGCAGCCTGAGGCAGAGCGGGCTAGAGGGGGAACCGGGCACTTCTCTGGAACCTCTGCAGGCTGTCCTGGGCCCAGGAGGCCACTCTGTGGGGCGCTGGGCGGCAGCTCTGAACTCCATATAAGGAAGAACTTAGTGAGTCAGAGCTGCTCCGAGGAGGAGCGGGTGGCCCCAAGAGCGATGAGGTCCTGTCGCTGGAGGTGGGTGAAGGGCCCAACACCACTTTGGGCGTGTAGGCGAGGAGACGCCCCACCTCAGACACCCCTCCGCTCCCACGGTGCACGAGCTAACCTGGGCTCCCAGTCAGCTTCCCCGGGACGAGGGCGTGCAGCCTCCCTCTGAGCGTGTCTGTGCCCAGCTCCCTGTGGAGCCCTCCGCCTGCCTTATGTCGCCATTCCTTAAGGCGGCCTGGCGGGGCAGCTGCCATGATTACCCCATCTGACAGACGGAGGAAACGGGGGCCTAGAGACACCAGTTTTCCCAGAGTCCCGTAGCTGGGGGCGGGCGGAACGAGGCTCGGACCCGGATCCACCTAACTCACAACCCTTGGCTCTTAAACCAGACCATCAGTAGGCTCATGGACCGTCGGAGAAAGAAGGCTATTTGAGGCCACGAGTCCCATGGTACAAGTGGGGAAACTGAGGCCCAGAGAGGGCAGTGAGTCAGTGAGGGCAAATGGCAAAAGTGTCAGGGATGGACCCAGATCCCCAAAGTCTTGACTTGGGGCCCTGGTCCCTTGGGGGCTCTACTCCAGGAGGGGTGCCGGCATGAGCATAAAGAGCCAGACCCCTGGGGTCCTGGGTGCCCCCACGTCCCATCCACCCGTCCTATCACTTCAAGTCCTCTTCTCACATTAAAACCCCCCAGGGAGGTGTGGGGAAGACACTGTTCACCCCTAAATCACATCCCTACCCTGTTCGAGCCCACTGACAGCCCTGAGCCTGCAGGCCGGGGTCCAACCCCTCAGGTCCCCAACCCGCCCCCATCTGCCTCCTCTCCTAGGTGCCGCTACTTCCAGAACTCACCGCGGTCCTCCCCCACCCTTTACACACACCACCCTCTCCCCCAGAGACCCCTTCCCGAGTCTGGTCTCTCCTGGCTGCGTCCTCCAAGGGCCATCCCACCGTGCCAAGCCACCTCCTCCAAGCAGCCTCCCTTCCCTACCAGCGGAAGAGATCCCTCCGCTGCTGGCCCCCACAGCCCTCTGGCCTGGCTCCGCCAACACCTGATTGCACTGGGCACCACTTTTGTGTAGGGGGACACCTGGGCCCGAGGCAGAGGCCGCAGATCTGGTGTGGGGGGGTGCCCAGAACCCTTGGGCAGGTTCTCCAACCTTCCTGAGCCTCAGTTTCCTTATCGTAAAGTGCTGACTGCTGTAGTCCCTGCCTCGGGTTGTTGTGAGGATAAAATAAGGTGATTCAATGTTTCGCATTGTGGCTAAATCCTCGGCTTTTTAAAAAACCAGCCTCTGCACTGACCCGCTGTAGACCAAGGCAACTGTCTCAACCTTTCAGAACTGCAGCTTCCAACTCTGTAAAACGGGGTTAGTGATACTCTACGTGTCGTGGCTGAAGAGGGCATTGAGTGAGAGGATGCAGGCAACACAATTTATAAAAAATGCCCTGGCCCTGGCTGGCGTAGCTCAGTGGATTGAGCTCGGGCTGCGAACCAAAGTGTCGCAGGTTCGATTCCCAGTCAAGGTACATGCCTGGGTTGCAGGCCATGACCCCCAGCAACTGCACATTGATGTTTCTCTCTCTCTCTCTCTCCCTCCCGTCCCTCTCTGAAAATAAATACATAAATTTCTAAAAAAAAAAAGCCCCTAAAACAGTTATTACAGATTGTGCACTCATAGTGACAGGCAGCTCAATACTGTCAACGTGTAATAAATGGTGGCTTTGAGCAATAATATTAAATAACAAAGGGGTTGATGACGGTCAGGCCTTCCTCCTCCACTAGAATGCCCACTGCCCAAGGGTGAGATGCAGGCCTGGCTGGTGCTGTCCTCTCCGTGCACCTGTGAGCTCTTGGCTGGGACAGGACCCCATGCTTCTGCCCTCCCAGAACCCGCTCCTCTCCCTAGAGCTTCTTTCACCCTCGCCTTTCTGGTCGGTTGATTATCAACCGTGTCCTGCGCTGGACAGTGAACCCTGTGAGGGCAGAGCCTCAGACGCTCTGAGTTTCGGCCCCCCCAGGACCTAGCCCACACTGGCATACTGTAGGCACCCACTAAAGAGCCATTGGCTGAATGACTGGCTGACAAAATGCTGGGGGTGGAAGGGGCAACCGCGTGGCCTGGCGGTGCTGTTGCCAGGGTCCAGCGCCATGGGCCCGGCTGTCCCACCCTGCCCAGGCTCACCTGCTTGTACTTGTACAGAAGCAGCAAGAGCAGCAGCAGCAGCGAGGCCATGAGGGATATGCAGGCCACCAGCACAGGTGTGAAGAAGGGCTCATCAGGGAGCTGTTTGGAGAATCCTGGAAGGGGGGTTGCAGAGGAGTGAGTGGGAGACCGGCCTCTGGGACCTGGCCCCCACTGAGAATTGGCCAGTGTGAACACAGCCGGCGCCCAGCAAATGCTTTGAGTGAAGTGTCCTCACACCCGGAAGCCCCCAGAGCCTCAGGGAGCCTTCCGCAGACCCTCCCCCAGGCAGGAGCAGGGAGGGCAGACCCTTCAGCCCTGCTCAGATGCAGCTGCAAGCCCTGCCTGAGTCACAGCCTTTTGGGGAGCCCCACAGGGCACATAACGCCACCCTGCAGGGCAGGGAGCCCTCTGCAGCAACCTGGCCTGCTGCCCAGCCTCGCCTTGGCCACGCCGGCTGTGACCAGCTCACCACCTACACCATGGGGCAGCTCTAATGGAAGAGTCTTCTACACATTAGATGGGAACCTGCTTCCCTGGCTGTTGCCTGCGGTTTCTGTGGGTGCCCTTTGGAACCACGGGCCCTTCCGAGGGGCCGAAAGCCAGGCTCATGGCCCTAGGTCTCCTCCTCCCAGGTCACTTACCCTAGTTCTCTGCACGCATTTTGAAAGACAATTTACATCACCTTGCCCAGATCAACAGCGTGGGTCTGAGGCCAAATCTCACCTCTGCTATTTAGGAGGTGTGTGACATTGAACTTGTGACTTCTCCCTAAGCTTAAGGCTCATCATCTCCGAAGTTAAAGGAAAATAGTACTAGCCTCCTAAGGAGGTACCAGTTCATTGAGACCATGGCCGGCACAGCGAGGCTGACAACAGCCCCAGCCACTGCCCGTGCGGTGGGGCCCTGGCAGCAGCCGCTCCAGGGCCAGCAGCTGGGGCACCTGAGGGGGCACCTCTGAGCCAGGCAGAGGCTCCTGCTCTGTCCTCTCTGGGCCCAGGGAGCCTTGCTAGGCCTGGCATACAGGGGCGCTAAGACCTGCTTGTGGGGAGTCTGAGGGCGCTGTGGGCCTCCACACAGAATCAGAGAGCACAGAATCGAAGAGCTACCCACGTAGAGCTTTTGTGTGGCGCAGAGAAAGGCACCCTTTCCTCTCCACAGATGCAGCCTGTGCCAGTGCCCAGGGCTGGACAGTGGTCCCCGAATGGATGGGACAACGTCTCTGGCAGGAGGGGGCTCAGGGAGGGGGGAAGAAGGCTGCCAAGGCTGGCCCTGGGGTAGGGTCTCGGGACCGCGTGCACTTGCTGTTGCCTGCCCCTCGCCAGACTCTAAGCTCCAGGGAGGCAGCTCCCCTGCATCGAGGGGGTGCCTGGGACACAGCAGGTGCCAAACATATACCGTATTTTGCCATGCATAATGCGTACCCACTTTTTTGGCCTAAACTTTCAGGACAAAACATTTTCATGTAATTTTTAAATTTATTTATTTATTTATATTGAGATACTTGGGTTTTTGTACTATAAAGGAATTTTAGCATTTATTTTTTAACATATTTGGTATACTTTTAATGCATAAGCATAAATGAAAGAATTAAAAACATTGATATAGATACAGAATTAGTACTACCCATGTATAATGCACATCCTTATTTTTCCCTCAAAAATTTGGGGAAAAGTGCACATTATACACGGCAAAATGCGGTACTTGTGAATTAATGCATGAGTTCAAGTGCAGGGTAGGAGCAGAGGGGCCAGTGAGGCTACGCTCCCAGCTGCTCTCTCTCTGGAGATGCCCAGGTCCCCTCCACTCTCATCTGCTGTCTCTGGTTCTGAGGGTTCCAGACTCCCCCATCTGGCTGCTCCGGGAGACCTTTGCTCTGGAGGAGCCTGGAGTGGGACCTACGGAGGTGGGACTCGGTTCAGCTGGGACAAGCTCCATGGTGGAACTCTGGGCGCCCCCCATCCCGGCCTGGAGGGGAGGACAGAGGCTCACCCACGGAGATGGGCTGGAAGGTGGAGGAGCTGTTCCCCGCGCTGTTGAAGGCCCTGCACTCGTACGTCCTGTTGTGTTCCAAGGTGTCCATGGCCCACAGGCTCTGGACAGTCACCCTGTGGAAGGGCTGCCGGCTCAGGACCTTGGGGTGTGGGTCTTCAGAGACCAGCAGCACTTGGGCCTCATCACATCTAGAAAGAGCAGAATGTGCTTCAGAGTTTCAGGGTGCCCAGCCCCTCATTCCCGGAGAAGAAGGGGACAGGAGGCCACTCACCTGTCAGTATGGCCCCTGCACTGTACCCACGTCACGTTGGGCTGGGGGTACCCAGAGGCCTCACAGAGCACGGCTTCAGAGCCATTGACGATGTTCCATGTGATCCTCACCTCTGGGGGGTCTGAGGAGGAAAGGGGGAGCGGCAGAGGGAGGGATCAGCCCTGAGGCCCAAGTGCCCTCGCCTGACCGCCTCGCCCTGAGCTTCCCCTCCCCCACCCTCTCCCAGCCTGTCTCTCCAGGACTCCACGTCCACAACCCCCCTCCATCACTCACATCGAAGGGTGAGCTCGAAGGTCAGGTTATTCTCGCTTCCGGCGTTTCTGGCCGTTAGGGAGTAGAGGCCGGCCTCCGAGGGCTTCAGGCGAGGCAGGGAGAGCGTGGAGGTGTACCTGCACGGGAAGGGCAGGACGTCTGTGGTGAGCCCGGACTCGGTCCCCACCGGAACAGCGGGCCCAGGCAGCCGCCCCAACAGGCTTTTTTCTTTGTTTTTAGTAAAGTGTCCAAGGCACAAAGGCCTTGATGGAGCCAGGAACCCAGGCAGGTTGCCAATGAGACATGGGAAAATCACCAACCCAATTTCCCTAACTGGCTCTCTTGTCTGTAGAGCAGTTTTGTCCTGAGGTTTAGTGGAGGCGAGGTTGGTAAAGTGCGGACCCTGGGAGGCACATCGCAGGCCCCACTGCATGTAGCTGCTTCCACCACCATCGCTGGGCTAAGCCAATGCTGGCACCCAGGTCAGCTGCCATCCCTATAGTGCCAACCTCACCCGGAGGGTCTACGAGAGGAATGAGAAGCAGGATGTGGCCATGGGGCTACAGAGACCAGGGCTCGAGTCCTGGTGCTGCCAGTGCTCAGCTGTGCGACCTTAAACAAAGGCTGAACCTCTCTGATTCTTCTCTTCCTTCTCTGCGAGGGCGACACTGGTGGAAACTAATTCACGGACTTGGCCTGAGGATTAAAGAGCTATGTATTCAGAGTGCTTGACACAGTAGCACTCAATTTAATGGTGCCCTTTGTTACAGAAGTGGCTGGATGCAAACGCAAGCAAGTTACCCTCAGGCGATCTCAGATCACTGTTTATTCTTTTCTTACTCTCTATTTGAAAATTTATCCATAAAGCGCATGTATTGTTTAGGTAGTGAAAACGTTTTTAAAAAATAAATGCTAGCCGCCCTGGCAGGCGCATCTCGCTTGTTTGGAGCATCAGCCCCTGAACCGAAAGGCTGCCCGTTCGATTCCTGATCCGGGCACAGGCCTGGGTTGCAGGTCAGGTCCCTGGTTGGAGTGCATACAAGAGGCAACCGATCGATATTTCTGTCTAGCATCGACGTTTCTCTCCCTCCCTTCCCCTCTCTCTGAAATCAATAAGCATGTCCTTGGATGAGGATAAGAAAGCAATAATAGCACATTACCAGCCCTTCTTTGGAAGAGGTCTGCAGCCAGCACGGGCCTGAAACACACAGTGTTCGGAGGGTGGTCTCCGTCACACCTTTGGCATGCAGAACCTCTCGTCCCCTCTCCACGTATCAGTTGTTGTAACAACTAACATTTACCTCTTGAACTGAAAGAATTCAGCTTCTGGGGATGACTCCGAGTCACCGTGATGAGCACGCCCATCACATGAGCTAAGTTTGGTGGCGGTGTGGTGCGCAGGCATGGGTGCCTCGAGATGACTGGCCCTGGGTGACTGTGTTTAGGGGGCTCTCCCTGGTTCCTTTCTGCAGTGTCCCTGTTGCTTATGGACCCCCAAAATCTGTCCATAAATCCCCTCTCAGGAGCCTGTAGGATCCAGGTCCAGAACTTGTGCTTTAGGTGAGAGGAAGCTAGGAGTGCTGGCCAGAAAGGACAATGGAACTGGGAGTGGGAAGATGAGGACAAGGGAATGCCTTGCAGATCATGACTGACAAGCAAGAGTCCAGGGGCCGGGGAGGTCTGGGCTTCGGGAGCTAGAAAGAGAACCCCAGCGAGCTGGAGATCAGGAAGGTGTCTGAGGGAGTGACCTGGCCCAGGGCTAACAGACAGGTTTGCCCCCACAAGCCAGTTACGAAGGGGACACTGTCTGGAGACTGTGCTGAGGAGGACTCTGAGGCTGCACCTCGACTCTGCAGAACGCAGTTCAAGGATATCGGTCATGGTGGAGGGCATGGAGCAGGGGGTGTTACACACACACACACACACACACACACACACACGCACGCACGGACACCATGCACTTGTTCTTGATCTAACTGCAGGCTGTCCTGAAAACAGATCAGGGTAGAGCAACTATTGTTCTAACCCCTTTGTTGTTAAAGAGTATCTGAGTTCCCCATGGGGGGGGACCCCCTTGTTTAGAAAGCTACCTGGTTGGACCACTTTGGATGGGAAAATAAAACCCTGAGGACACAGTCCACAAGTAAGAAGACAGAAAAAACAGATTCCTAAAATGCTGTGCATGCGGGAAAAGAGGATTCTGAGAGAAGATGTCCTCAGATGGCATTTTATGAGAAGAGTTTGAGCCTGGTGAAGAGTGACTGGTGAGAAATTCTCCAGGCTGGGTGACCACAGGCCGTCAAAGAATTTTTAGATGTATCTGTAATTGGGTGGTGTGAATTCCCTCCATCCCACCCCCAAACCCGTGTGAGTGGCAGACACCCTGGGCCATCATTATTAGCAATGTGTCTAGGAGTGGAAATCACAGGCATTGTTTTCTACATTTGGATTGGACACAGAAGAGATACTGATGGATGGGAGAATGGATGATACTGAGAGTTCTTGGATAACCATGAAGATGCACACACCCAAGAAATGGTAGAATTCTTGAGGGCATTTCCCAAGGATGTGGGACCAAGGGGGATGCAAATCTAATCTAAACCTCAGACACAGATGACTGAGGTCAGGGTCCACACAGTCAGGGAAAGTGAGACCTGGAGAGGGAAAGGGACTCGCTCCAGGTCACACACCAGGTTGAGACATGACCCAAGTGTCCTGACTCCCGGCCGAAGCATCCCCATCCCGCTGTGGGGCTTGCAGGTGGGAGGTGGGAGTTGGTACCTGTATGTATCCTTGACGGTGACAAAATTGAGCTTGGGCTGGTGGTCCGAGAAGGGTCCCCCATAGGTCCAGTTCAAGCCTTGTAGGTCCGGGTAGGCCTCCACTATGACTTGGAGGTTGATCTTCTTACCCAGGGCCACCTCCTGGAGGAGGTTCTGCTCAGAGGTCAAGTTCACATAGGCACGCTCTGGAAAGCCAAACAGAGGTCTGGCATTAGTGGGATGGTGTCCTGGTTTGTTTGTTCCTTTGGTCACCTACCCATTGATCCGGTCATTCAGCTGGACCCTCCTGCGTGCCTGCAATGTGCCAGGACCACCGTCCCCGACCCTAGCCAGTGCTTGGCCTCTGACACCTCTTTTCCCACCACCCGCCACAGGAGCCAGGGCTCCAAACTCTTCTCCTCACTGAGTCCCTGGGAGAACCTGGGAAAATTCCTATCCTCCTTGAGGCCTTTGCCTCCTTATTTGCATAATTAAGAGGTTGAATATATCTGTGGTTATAACCTTTTGAAAAAATATTTAGTAGTAAAAAAAAGTCTGTTTTTTCTTTCGTCCATTCCCCCATCCGCTTCTCCTTCTTTTGATAATAGCTCAGTCAGTGTGGCTTCCACATCCAGGGCTAAAGTGGGCATGTGACTCAGGCCAACCAATCAGAGTAATGCATCCCATTTGGACCAGTGATTGGTTTGGGGTAGGCATGTGAGTCCATGAGCCCTAACATTTATTTCCATGACTTTCTGTTGGGAATCTGGGAAAAGAGAAGACCTTATTCCACTGGGGTTATCATGCCTGGTACTGCTAGGGGTTCCACAAAAAAATGTATAGCTGAGAGTTGTGAAAGAACAGATTCTTGTTCACATGACCTGAACACCTAGATCCAACTGTACCTGAAGCTCACATCCATGGGCTTTTTAGCAATAAGGCTAATAAAATACTCTTTTGATTAGGCTAGTTCATGTTAGTTTCTTTTACCTATACCTGAAAGAGTCATAACTAGTTTCTTCTCATTAAATCTTACATAAATTAAAATCAAGCTACTCTGGGGGTCTGAGGAGGAAAGAAAGCAGAAGAAGGAGGGAGTACCAGAAGCCCTGAGTACTCTCAGCACTCCCAGAACACCCCATACCTCACCCATGATTGCACTAGGTGAGCATTGTCTGTTCACATGTTTACATTTCATGAGTGTCCAAGGAAGGAAGGAAGGAAGGAGGGAAGGAAGGAAGAGGGAAAGGAAGGAAGGAAGGAAGGAAGGGAAGAAGGAAGGAAGGAGTAAAGTCCAGTAAGGAGCTGCTAGATATTGATCCCCAAACAGAACAAAACAATGCTTAACAGAAATGTGGCAATACACTGTAAGAGCTCCAGGAGGGAGAGTGGGGCTCTGGGAAGGCTCCCCCAGACTTGGCTCCCTAGCCAGGCCTAGGATAAGGGGATTCTAGCAGAGGTATTTTTAACAGTGTCTTCTTCTCTGCCATCAGCTCCCTCCATCTCAGTCCCCTTATGTACCTCCCTCACCCCAGGATCCCAGCCAACCTTCCCCCACCATCCTGATGCTCACCTACCACCAGGAAGACCATGGAGGTGGAGCTGATGCCCTGGCTGTTGATGGCCATGCAGGAGTAGTTGCCAGCATCCTGGAAGCCTACTTGAGTGAAGTTGAGGGTCAGGACTTTGTGGTAGCGGTCATCATGGAAGTCACTGCGTACAGGGATTTCGAGCTGCAGCCAGAAGAAATGAAAATGGTATATATACCAAGGTTGTTTAGGGATTACAAAGATCTGGGTTCAAATCCTCATCCTTTATTGATTATTATCTTCTTTTCCTTGGGCAAAGGTCTGGTCTCTGGGCCTCAGTTTCTCCACCTGTAAAACTGGACTAACACTGGCCCCCTGCTCCTAGGGCTGCAGTGAAGAGTAAATGAGATGCTGCGTGCAAAGGGCTGTGCCTGGCACACAGTAGGCACGGTGGGAGGGCACGGGGCTCTCAGAAGTAGCCTAATTTCCTCCTGGGAGTACTCCCCCTTTCTCCCTCTCTCCCAAAGAAGTCTTTCTGAAACAGCACTTACATATATCTCTGGGCTTCAAAGGAGGCCTATGAACCCCTTGCTAAGTCAGAAGTGAGCTGACAGCTGGTGCTTGTCTATAGGCTTGGGCAAAGGTCATGGGTCAAGGGGGTAGAGTACCACCTTCCCTACCTGCCCCCATAAGCTTCATTGGCATGAGCCTAAACCCTGGTTTTTGAGCAGCTACTGACTGCCAGTGAGCCCCTGAGTGAGTCCACTTTCCTCTCTGGACCTGGACCGTGCCCTCGGCCCAGAGAGCCTGCTACAGTGGGGCTAGGGGCTCCACCTGCAGGGTCTGATGTAGTGGGAAGATGGGCAGATGTCACCCTGCTGTCTCCCCGGCGACTGACCTTGGTGTTTCCTCTTTGGAGGATGAGTTCAAAGTTGACCTCAACATTGCTGGCTGAGCACACAATCTGGGCAGCCTCTCCTCGAATCCGCACTAGCTCTGAAGGCTCCAGCGTCACAGATGGGGGCCCTAGGATAACTGAGGCCAGGAGAAGGGACCCATGAACACCCAGGCCAGAGCTATTGCTCTGCTCCCTGCCATGGGCCAGGGCCCCCCACCGCATTCCCATCCCAGATCCTGGGAGACACCCTTGATGCTTCGATCCCAGGGGAGTAAGTCTTGTCTCCTAAATAAACCTTGAAAAATCAACTCCCCGCCATCACGCCCCCTCCCCACAGTCTCACTGCCACTCTCTGCTCTGGACCCCTGCAACAGCCCCCTGGAAGGCCTCCCTGCTCCCTCTCTGATCCCTCTAAACCCGGACTCCTCACAGCAGCCAAAGTGAGTTCGCTTAAGAAGGGAGATTGGGTCCTGGCTAGTGTGGCTCAGTGGACTGAGTGCCGGCCTGAGAACCAAAGGGTCGCTGGTTCGATTCCCACTCAGGGCACATGCCTGGGTTGCAGGCCAGGTCCCCAGTAGTAGGTGCTCAAGAATCAACCACACATTGATGTTTCTCTCCCTCTCTTTCTCCTTCCCTTCCCCTCTCTGGAAATAAATAAATTAAATATTTAAAACTTTTTTAAAAAGGGGAAATTAGATCATGCCTTTCTCCTGTGCCAATACCCAGTGGCTTCCCGTCACTTTCTCAGAATAAAAGTCGAAGTCTTCCCCACATCCCCAGACCCTGACCACCCGACCCCCACCACCTCACACCCATTGCACTGCGGCCACTTTGGCCCTCCTGTCATGCGCTCACACCTCCCTCCTGGGACGCTCCGTCTCCCACACTTTGAATGAGTACCTGCTCTCTCCCTTCAGATCCTTAGCTCGAACATTCCTCAGAGAAGACTTCTGTGACCAGTTAGCCTCACTGCCTCCCCCCACCCCCACCCCGCAGAGCACACACATCCAGCTTTCTCTGGCGGGGTTTCTTGTTTATCCCACCTGGTCCCCAGCCACTAGCCCAGTGCCTGACATGTGGCAGGCACTGAATTAGTATCTGTGTCTGTTGCTGTTGTTGAAAGATGAACTAATCCAGTTTCCCAAGGTCCAGAGACACTAAAGGACACATCCAAGGTCGCTGAAAGTGTCATGACAGAGCCAGGGTCCAGGACAGCCCAGGCTTTGTAAGATGAAGTTTAGCAAAGGTTCCCTAATGCCTCCCTTTACCCACCAGGGGGGTCCTCTGACTTCCTGGGCACATTCTGTGGCCACGAGCCCAGGGACCTGATTGCCGTCTCAAGCCCAGGTGCTGAGCCTGGGGCCTCCTTATTCACATCAGTCCTTCCAGACCCTGGAATCCCATCTACACGCCCAGCAGGGGCAAGAGGGGAAAGGAGTGAGCTGCACCACCTCTGCCCCCAGCCTGTCCCCCCAGCTCAAGCTGTGCCGCTTGCCCAGCACCACCTCCCTGCCACGTGGCTCACCACCCCACCTTCACGGGCCCCGGGCCCAACACCAGGCCATCACCGAGTGGGAAACCCACGTCTGAGGGTGTGGGAGAGCTTCGGGCCCTCCTTCCGTTCCTAGAACATCGGAGCCTCCTCCCACCTGTTTCCTCTGCTGAAGTATATCTCTGAGGGCCACCTCCCTCTCATCACGCACATTTCCTCTCAAATAGTGTCCCCCCACACTTTATTCCGTCACCTCAAGTAATGGTTTTCCTAGCACGTTTCATGATCTGAGCTGACTCTGCCCATTCAGTGATTACTTCAACGTGGTCTGTCTCCCTCCCTGACATACCTTGCTTGTCTTGTCCCAGTCGATGCCCCATAGGTGACGGGAGTACGATTGGAAGGAAGAAATCAAAGGAGGGGACATGTATTACCTCCTTTCAGGGTAAGCGGACCCAGCCGGCGCTAGCTTGGCTGCCAGCTCTCCCCCCCTGCCCTCCACACCTGTCCTGCCCCACCTTGCCTCACACACGCACCTTTCTGCACGTTAAGACGGATGCCGAGTGATGTCACAGTCGTGCTGCCTACTTGAACGCGGCATTGGTAATCCTGACTCTCAACGTACTTGGCCTTGTGGATCGTGAAGCCACGCCGGGGTGAGAAGGAGTACTTGGTTTTGTTCAAGAGAGGCCGTTTACGCAGTCGCTGCAGCGAGACAGCCGGCTCCAGCGCAGGGTCGGTGAGCAGGCAGGGCAGCACGGCGTCCTGGCCCTCTAACACCGTCACTTCCTTGGCCAGCAGGTTCCAGGGCCGGGCAGGATCTGAGGTCCAGGGGGATACAGGGTTAAAACTGCCCGCCCTCTCCCAGGCCAAGTGGTCTCTGGACATTGGTGACAGGAAGGCTCAGAGATGTGGATCATTTGCCTGAGGTCACACGATACCAGGGAAGCTCAGCTGATGCTTCAGAGTGGGGGCTTCGGAGCCAAGCCCAGCCCTACTGCTTGATGCTGTGGGATCTTGAGCAAATTACTCAACCCCTCTGAGCCTCTGAAAAATGCGTGTAAGTATGGAACCAACCTCACGGGGTCCTTGCAAGGGCTGCATTATTTTGGAAGCACTGCCATAGGTCCTTGTTCACGGCAGCCACCCCAGAAATGCGGGGCTGCTTTTTTATGATTGGGACTGTTAAGGCCCAGCCCTCTTGCCCATTCCTCTTGAGAGTGGGCCCAGAGTCCTCACCTTTGACGTAGAGGTGGATGCTGGCGCTGCCCCCTAGGGGGTCTCCGGGCTCAGTGCAGCTATAGGTCCCTGTGTTTCTGAAAGTGGCGTTTCTCGTGATCAGGATGCTGCCAGAGACATCGGGCTCCAGAGTCCAGAAGGGGAAGGAGGTGGGGCCGTCCCATTCCACGCTGTCATTGCTCACGCATCGCAGGGCCACCGTCGTGCCTGGCGTCACAACCAGCTCATTGACATTGGGTTCTATCACCGGGATCCCTTGAGCTGGTGGAGAGAAGACAGCAGACAGAAGTGAGGCCCAAGGTGACGCTCCCTGGGCGATTCCCTGCCTCTGAGATGGGTGTTCCCCTGGCACGGGTGGTACTGGTGCTCGGGGTCCACTGTGACTTGCAAGATGACCTTGAACAAGTCCCTGCCCCTCTCTGGGCATTTGCTCAGCCCCCGCCCCAAATCTGCTCGGGGATGGACTGATGTCTCCGGCCTCTCTTGGTCTTTCTCCCAGCCGCTGCCCCCCAAGGGTTCCCAGGTGTGACTGCATCCTTCTCCCCAGGAGTAGATTTCTTCTGCCTCCTGAAGTGGGCTGCAGACTTGGCGCCAAATCAGGGTGTGGCTCAAAGCAGGGGCTCAAACACAGAAAGGAGGAGACAGATGAATGAGGTTCACGGCCAAGTCCTCTCACTTAGTCCATATGGGGATGGAGAAGAGGAGTCGGATCTTGGCCCAGCAGGATTAAAAAGGTTCTAATTCTTCTGTCGTGCCCACTCCCACCACTGGTCTGCAGCACAGTGGAATGGGTCAGAGGCTCTGTGCCTCAGTTTCCCCACCTATAAAACGGGGACAATAATTGTACCCATTTATGGGGATGTCAGGAGGTTTAAATGCATGGGGAGCCTTTCGAATGTCACCTGTCACCAAATAAACACTACGAGTGAGCCATTACACATATTATCTAGTCCACCCCCACGTCCCAGCGCCGCCACGTTTACGGGACTGCTGATCTCTTTTAAGGAACATTTTCTTGAAGGAGAAAAGAGAACTTAAAACCCGTATCGGGCCCTCCGGGAAGAAGGCCCGTTGCCTCTGCAGGGTCAGCATTTCTCCGGGGCCTAAAATAGGGGCACAGGAGGGAAGTGAGAGCCGATGCGAGGCCTTGGAGGGGCCGCCGGGCACGCTGGCCGGGCGGGCGGAAACACATTGCCGGCGCGCGGCCTGGCCCCCAGTTTCCTCCCCGCCTGCGGCCCTTCTCCCTGGGATGCTCTCACTTCTGCTTTCTGGCCCTCCTAGCCACTGTCCCCTCTCTGGGGGAGAGACTCAGGAGAGGCAATGCCACCTGCTGGGCATCAGAACGCCCCAGGCTTTGGGGCCGGCTCTGCCGCTGACCCCCTGGCAAGGGCAACCCCTTGGCTCCGAGAGTGGGACCGTGGATGTCCAGCCCTGAGGATGTCAGGGCTTCTCCACCATCCTGCACACAAGCCCCTTACATGGCTCTGTCCACCTCTGCCCCCGCCTTTGACCCTCGACTCAGAAAGATGTTCCCTGTCAAATGACTTCGGGAAGGTTTGTTATGGTTTGGTTTTGTGCCCACCAGAGGTGTGTGGCCCCTCTGCCTGAGTTTATGATCAACAGAAAGGACCGGGTGAACTGGTGGGTGTTGCCAAGGCATAGCTCTCCTGTGCCCTGTGACCACCAGGGAAGGGCAACAGCGTTCCTGGCAGCTCTCTGCCCCAGTCCAGCGGCAGCGACGCAGGCCCTGGGCCTGGGCTGTGGGGTTGTACCATGTGACTCTGAAACCTGGTTTGTCTTACAGGCCAGGTAGGTGCCGTCAGCTCTCCAACCTGGGGGGATTCTTGGCTCCAGCAAGAGCCCCTGCCCTGGGCCAGGCTCCCATTGCTGCATTTCTGACCTTTGTAGGTCAGAGCCTGTGGCTACAACACCTGTGATCTCGGATTCTGTGTTCCCCTTCCACACCCATCTGGTCCCACAGGCATCTCTCCCACCCCCTCCCCTGCCCAGTCCCTCCAGTCCATGCAGTGGCCTCCTGGAAATGTGGTCACAGAGAGGCATCTGTGCTGTGTTGTCCGGCCTGGATGTCCCAGATATTCGCGCAGAACAAAGCCGATACCCTCAACTTCCACCCCCCATTTCCCTCCTGCAGCTTGGCTGGCAGGAAGGGCAGGCCCGCTCAGGCCTGGTCCTCCCCCGGGCTGGAGGCTGGGGCATGGTGGACACGGACTGAGGCCCCCTTCTGCACCCGTCCAGGTTTCACCCTCTCATCTCAGCTCCCGATTCTCCCCGTACCCCAAACCTCCCTTCTGCCCACTTACCCGACAGACCCCTTCGTCACCAGCTCCCGGGATCTCCCTCCAGCTTGGCTCCTCTCCCCTGGGACACACACAGGGCACACCGAGGCCCGGGACACAACCCCTCCTCAGCCCTGGGTCTTAGCAAGCTTCTCCTCCTCTCGGGTGCTACGACCCCATCCCCCAGCTCCCGTACAGCAGCCCCCCACATCCCCACTCACTCACTTCTTATCACTCCTTCTGACCCTTTACCCAAGCCTCCCAAGGAAGGACTGCTGCCCCTTTGGGCCTTTCCAACTCAGGCCCTGCCTACAGTCTGTGAGCCGCAGGCTGGCAGAGCTGGCAGAGCCCCCAGGGGCTCTCTCGTGTTGGTCTGGACCAGCGGCCCTGGCCTCTCTCAGGAGCTTGTTAGAAATGCAGAGTCGCAGGTCGCACCTGAAACCTACTGAGTCCGAACCTGCATTGTAACAAGAACCCCCGGTAATTTGTATGCACGGTTAAGTTTGAAAGGCTTTGCTTTCGTCCAGCCCATCACTGCCCCCAACACCTGCCATTGAACAGATGTGGACACTGAAGCCTTGAGAGCATCAGGAGCTTGTTCAGGACGCACAGTTTGTCAGCTGAGCTGGGACTGATCCACAGTCTGGCCCAGGCTGCTTCCAGCCCTTCATCACCTCTCCGAAACTAATAGCCGCACACCTGCTGTCCAGGCTGGGGAGATGGAAGCGCAGAGAGTGGGTACATCCGGTGAGGGGCTGGGGTTTGCAGAGAGTCCTGACGCAGGGGCCCTCGGTCCCACCACCCCCACCGCCACCCAGGGCCCTCGGTTCTGCTCTTACCGTGCCAAGCTGTGGCCACCAGCAAGGTCAGCAGAGGCCCCGGGCCCATGGCTTCTGTGGGGAGGCGACAGCCTGATGCAGGGCTTCGGGGAGGGCAGGCACTGGGCTCCCAGCTGCCCGCACCGTGGGGACCAGGAATGCTGGCTGGACACGCTCCTCTGCACTCCACCCGCTATTTGTCTTGTTTCCCTCTTCTTCCTCCACCTCCTCCTCCTTGGGCTGATCCCCTTCTTCCCCTTTTAGCAGGGCAAGACAACCACAGAATTTGGAAATCTTGGGTCTTCAGAAGAAAACAAAGCCATGACCCCCAAGGGGCGGGGTTGGAGTCTAGGTCAGGGCCAGCCTGAGCCTGAGGGAGCTGGCGAGGTTTGGGGTCCTTCTGGAGCCACCTCCACAGGGCCCTGGCAGAAGAGACACTCCCAAGATCAAGCAGTCTGTCTGTCAGTAGTAGCACAAAGGGGTGTTTTCAGAGTGTCCAGGTGGCTCTGGCTGAGCCGAAAGGGAAGTTAGGTTGGTCCAGGACAACTTGATACAGCAGCAAGAAGCTTCCATTTACAGAACACTCACCAGCCAAGCCCTTTACATTCATGATCTCCTTCTGTCCCCACAGAAATGTGACCTGGCAGGTACCCCTATCACTCCCATTTCACAGGTGGAAAAACTGAGATTCGGAGAGCTCACACACTTGAAACGTGCCCATAATTGTGCAGTTTCCAAATGGGGGAGCAGGGATTTGGGTCCAGGCAGCCTGGTTGTAGAGTTGCCTTTTCATAGACTCATTGTTATTTATTTTAACAAAGAGTCTAATTGTGCTACCATAGTTCTTAAGGGGGGAAAAAGCATTCCTCTGCCTCTTCCTTTCCTGGAGGAAATTGTTTTTACTCCTTTTAATTGATCTCTTAATATTTCTTTTCTTGTTTCTATATAACATGGTGGTAAAGTTACTTCCTGAAACTAAAAAGTCCCTATATAACATTGACCCAGGAAAATGGTCATTCTTTCCATGTACTGAGATATATGTAATAATTTTGTACATAAATGTTTTCTTTTTTTCAGGCAGGTGTTTCGAACCGTTAGCAATCATGAACACCAAAAACTGACTCAAGAAGGAATAGAAAATCTGAATAGACCTAGAACTAGCAAAGAGCTTAAATCCAAAGTGAAAAGCTTTGCAACAAAGTTTGGAGTCACACTTTCTGATCTCAAAATTAACTATAAAGCTACAGAAATCAAAACAGTGTGATATCAGCATACGGATAGATATGTAGATCAACAGAATAAAATTAAAAGTCCAGAAATAGCCCTGGCTGGTGTGGCTAAGTTGGTTGGAGCATCATCCTGTAACCAAAGGGTTGAGGGTTTGCTCCCTGGTCAGGGCACATACCTAGGCTGTGGGTTTGATCCCCAGTGCAGGTGCATACAATCCTCGGTCCAGGTGTGTACAGAAGAAAAATGATTGATGTTTCTCTCTCACATCAATGTTTCTCTCTCTCTTTCTTCTCTCCCTGCCCTTCTCTTTAAAAGCAATGAAAAAAAAGTGTCCTCAGGTGAGGATATAAAAAAAAAGAAAAAGAAAAGAAAGTCCAGAAATAAAACCTTTATATCTGTGATCAATTGATTTTCAACAAGGGTGCCAAGACATTAAATATAAAAAGGTTCTGGTCAAGATCGTGGAGTAGGTGGACACTGTGCTCACCTCCTCCCATGACCACATCAAAATTACAACTAAGTTATAGAACAATCAACCTAAAAACCATCTGGAGACTAGCTGAACAGGAGTCCTGTAACTAAGGATATAAAGACAGGTTGAGATTGGTAGGAGGGGCAGAGATGCAAAAGAAACTGGCCCCACACCCACGTGTGGTGGTTGAGAATCCAGAGGGATATCTCAGCTGCAATGGTCCTCCTCCCCCTTAGAAATGAGGGGGTCTCAGCTCCACACCAGGCTCCCCAGCCTGGAGCACTGGTGCCGGGAAGAGCAGCTCACATGACTACTGACTGAAAATCAGAGGGACAGAGGGATTCCATCTGTCCAGGTGAGATTGATGGCTGCTGGAAACCCAGGCATTGTTGTTGTTGTTTTTTTAATATGTGTGTATTGATTTCAGAGACAAAGTTAGGAGGGGCAGGAGGAGTGGGGGGAGAGAGAGAGAGAGATTGAGAGAGAAACATCAATCAGTTGCCTCCAGTATGTGCCCCCCGCCCCCACTGGGGAGAGAACCTGCAACCTAGGTATGTACCCTGATGGGAAATGAACCCTCAATCTTTCAGTTTACTGGAAGATGAATGACAACCAACTGAATGACACTGGCCAGGGCCCCAGTGGTCTCCTTGAAAGGCCAATGCACAAACTGTAGCTTGCAGGCACTCCCCTTTGGCTCCAGCAGAGAGATAGTGGCTCAAGGGCCACCAGTGACACACAGGGAGAAAGTGAGGTGCACAGCTTCAGAGTGAGGGCTGGAGGAACAACCCCCACTCTCTCCCCGACTGGACCAAATCTGAACCTGTCACTACCTCCACCCTCATGAATTCCCGAGACCCTGGAAGGTCCACAGGCCCCGGGCAGTGGTGACTGTCCTCTCTGTACTCTTGAGAGCTTTGCTGATTGGCCTCAGGCTCAGCACTGGCAAATCTGTGTTAATCTAATAAATACCACTCACCACACCCAAGTAACTCCCTGAGCCCCCACCCCACCCAACTCATGCACAACCTGAGGCTCTTTCAACAACTGGCCTGGGCTCCCACAGGCTTTCTTTAAAAACTTGAAATTCAAGTTTAGGGTGTGCTCAAAGACTACAGGGAGAAACTGAGTTGTGTGGCATCAGGGTGAAGGCTGGAGGAACAGCTGTCATTGCCCCTGCATTGAGCTCTCTTCCTACATTGTTGATAGTTGCCGTTGCCTGTGTGGATCCCTCCTGTCACGTGGCCAACACTGATCTTGAATAGCCTGGTGAATTGGTGCAGCCCACCAGCTCCACCCTGATGACTCCCTGGGACCCCACCCCACCCATCTTGTGCACATCCCAAAGCTCTTTTGGTGGCTTTGAAGTCTTTCTTTAAAAACTCATGAGATATTTTGATCAAGCATTTGGGGAATTGCCAGAGACATACAGGGAGAAACTGAGTTTGTGCCTTCAGGGCGAGAGAGGGAAGAAAGGCCACCACGGTCTCAGCCCTCACCCCACTCGTCCAAACCTGATTCTGTGTTAGCTTGGTGACTCCACTAGCTCCACCCTCATGACTCCCCAAGACCCTGCCCCATTGCCAGCTGGCAGGTGGCAGCAGATCTCAGGGTGCTTTCAGCCTTTGTATGACTTGTCCCAGGCCCAGTACTGGTTCACAGTGTGGTCTCTTCTATGCACATCTAGGCCCAGCTCAGGCAGCTACCAGCCACGTGTCACTTTGTAGCTCCTAACAGGCTCCCCTATGCCAGTCACAGGGAGTATCTCACACTGACCTGCCCTGGAGCCACCCAAGAGTCTCCAGAACCCACACATGCTAGCTCGCTCAGTCTGTAGCAGAGCAGGACCCAATCAGCTCCACAAGCGGCACACCCACAGGGTCGTCTCAGCAGGCACCAGACGCTGCTGGTGTGAATCTGTCTGCATGGAGTCTGCCCCCACACAGCAGATCATGTGCTGTGGTCGTGGCCAGTTCTCACAGCCAGGCAGCCTGAGGGCCAGCCCCACATGGCCAACAGCAACCAAGATACAACTACAACAGGAGGGCAAGCACACCCCACACGAGAGACACTCATGGAGCACCCAGATCAGGTGACCAGGGAGACTGTGCCCCTGGGGCCCGCAGGACATCTACTACATAAGGCCACCATGCCAAGACTGGGAGACATAGCAGATCTACCCAATCTATCTAATAGGTAGAAACAAATACAGAAAGGCAGCCAACATGAGTAGAAAAAGGAACATATCCCAAATGAAAAATCAGGAGAAATCTCCAGAAAAAGAGCTAAATGAGATGGAGGCAAGAAGTCTGTCAGATACAGAGTTCAAAATACTGGTTATAGCATTCAGGGAACTTGGTAAGAACGTCAACAAAGAGGTAGTAAGCCCAAAAAAGGACACAGAAATCATAAAAAGAGAACTAGTCAAAATGAAGAACACAATGATTGAAATGAAGAGTATACTTGGAAGAAGCCACAGCAGATTGGATGAAGCAGAGGGTCAAATGGGTGACTTGGAAGACAAGGTATCAGAAAACACCCATTCAGAACAGCCAAAAGAAAGGAATTTTAAAACAATGAGGATAACTTAGGGGACCTCTGGGACAACATCAAGTGTAACAACAGTCACATCATAGGGTTCCCAGAAGAAGAGAGAGAACATGGGATTGAGAACCTATTTGAAGAAATAATGACTGAAATTTTCCCTAATCTGCTGAAAGAAATAGACAAACAAATTCGGAAATCACAGAGAGTCCCAAACAAGATGAAACTGAAGAGACTGACACCAAGACACATCATAATTAAAATGGCAAAGTTAAAGACAAAGAGAGAACCTTAAGCAGCAGGAGAAAGAGAGTTTCCTACAAGGGAAGTCCCATAAGACTGTCAGTTAATTTCTTAACAGAAACTTTTCAGGCCAGAAGGGATTGACACAAAATATTCAAACTGATAAAAATCAAGGACTTATAGACAAGACTACTCTACCCAGAAAGGCTATCATTTAAAATTGCAGGACAGAGAGAAAGAGCTTACCAGACAAGATGAAGCTAAAGGAGTTCCTCACCATGAAACTAGTATACAAGAAATGTTCAATTTCTTTAGGAAGAAGAAAGAAAGAAAGAAAGAACATAAATATGAATTATAAAATGACAACAACTACCTATCTATCAATAATCACTTTTAATGTAAATGGCTTAAATGCTCCAATCAAATGACATAGGGTAGCTGAATGGCTAGGAAAACAAGACCCATAAATAGGCTGTCTACAAGAGACCCACTTCAGATCAAAAAATAAAACACACACAGAGACTGACATTAAAATGATGGAAAAAGATATTTCAGGCAAATGGAAACACAAAGAAAAGCTGGAGTAGCAAAACTTTCACAAAATAGGATTTTAAACAAAGGCTATAATAAGAGACAAAGAAGGACATTACATAATGATAAGGGACCTAATCATAAAGGAACCAATCCAACAGGAGGGTATAACCCTTGTAAACATTTACGCACCCTACAGAGGAGCCTCTAAATATATGAAGCTAATCTTAATGGACATAAAGGG